TTTATCGACGATTTTAGTCGTTATACTGTGGTTTATCTTCTAACAAAGAAGTCCGACTTATTTGAAAAGTTAAGAGCGTATGTTGCATTTGTAAAAAATAAATTTGGAAAAGCACCTAAAATTATACGTTCTGATAATGGTTGTGAATACAAATCTCATGATGTTAAAGATTACCTTGAGCGTAATGGTATATGTAATCAATTTACTGTACCCTATTGTCCTCAACAAAATGGTGTAGCAGAAAGGAAAAACCGATCTATAGTTGAGATGGCGCGCTGTTTGCTAGCGGAAGCAGGCTTAACCCACACTTTCTGGGCAGAAGCTGTAAACACAGCAAATTTTTTACAAAATCGTTTAGTTTGCTCTGGTATTCCTTGTACCCCTTTTGAAAGATGGGAAGGGCGAAAACCATATATAAGCAATTTTCATATTTTTGGTTCAAAAGCTTATATTTATATCCCTAAAGAGAAACGTCGCAAGCTTGATGATAAGGCTGAGGTTAAGACGTTTGTGGGTTATGATGAAAAAATAAAATGCGTTACGATTCGTCGACTTGAATACTAACAAACTTACTATTAGCAGAGATTATAAGTTTGTATATTGCAAGAAGGTTGAAGAAAGGCGGATACATAAAAAGCCATCAACTTTTGAAATAGATATGTCTCTCAAGCGTACTAAAAACATTTTTGTTCCAGATAGTACTACACGTGACGAAGATGAATCGTATAATCGTGATGAAGTAAANAACATTTTTGTTCCAGATAGTACTACACATGACGAAGATGAATCGTATAATCGTGATGAAGTAAATTCAAATGTTTCTGAAGGTTCTTTTTGTAGTGTAAATTCTGACAACGTTCCAAGCATCGAGATAATTAGCACAAATAATGAAGGTGAAGATCAACAAATTTCGAATAAACAAATCATGGATGAGGGTATTGCTCCCCGAAGATCAGGCAGAAGTACTAAGGGTGTTCCACCTTTGCGATGTTATGATAATATCTGTTTAGTAAATGAAAATGGAATGATCGAGTCAAAGACTTACAAGGAAGCAATATCTTCAGACAATTCTTGTGAATGGATTTTAGCTATGGAGGAGGAGATGAATTCTTTACGGAAAAACGAAACCTGGGAATTGGTACAGGCTCCCCCTAAGGCTAATGTTATTGGCTGTAAATGGACTTTTAAGATTAAGCGTGATCTCAATGGAAATATACAAAGGTATAAAGCCCGTCTAGTTGCACAAGGGTTCAGTCAAAAATACGGATGTGATTACGATGAGATATATGCACCTGTCGTTCGACAATCCACGTTTCGTATATTATTATCGATTGCTGGAGAAAAGAACATGCACGTAGTGCATATGGATGTAAAATGCGCTTTTCTTAATGGTCATATTAGCGAAACTATCTACATGAAACAACCACCGGGTTTTGTAGTCAGTGATAATAACATGGTTTGCAAATTAAAAAGAAGTCTTTATGGGTTAAAGCAAGCAGCAAATGCTTGGAACAAAGAACTTACCTATGCTTTAGAAAAAGAAAACTTTAAGCAAAGCAAAGCTGATTCTTCTTTATTCACGAAAATCATCAACGGGGAAGGAATTATATATTTATTGGTA